CCCCAAAACCCCAAAACCCCAAAACCCCAAAACCCCTGCTCAGTCTTTAAGATTGAGGATTCATGGTGAAGTATGAATTTAGTTAATTAAGAGAATTAAGATAGCCATTCAGGGACTCCTGTTTCTCGAGCAGAAGCATAAGTCTAACCAACAGAGGTGGAATAGTCTTATTCCTGGGAAATATCGAGGAGAGAGAACTTTTGACCCTCTAATTTGGCCTTTTGGTCTAGCTCAATCCAAACAGAAGAGGCAGATTTTTTGTAGAATAGTGTCCTTTTTCTTTTGGAGGAGGGTGAAAGTGCCTTTGTTCGCAACTTCTTCTTTGGCTTCTTGTTTTTGCGCTTTTTGGGTGAAAGAGAGTATCATGGGTGAGATGGGATCTCGTTAAGGTAAAGAGTAGATTTGCATGTGATTATGGGTTTTATGGACTTATTTGAGCTTTTTGAGAGGTATTTTTGGTAGGGCTGAGAAGGAAAATGTCTGTGAGGAGGTTTGTAGAGAGTTTAAGGTGGATTTGGCTTCAGTAGAAGCTTTGGAAGGAGATTTTGGGCTAAGAAGAGGCCTTTGAGCTTTTCATGGACTTCAATTTCTAGAAATGTTTGCAGAGTTTTCAGATCTTTTAAATACTGCACTTTGTAAACAAGTCACCTCCTGATGCTCGAATTGTTGTTGCGAACTTTTCTCACTAGTATCATCCCTCCTCAACTTCTCTTTTCAAGGCACATCTTGTCGATGACTGATACTTGGAGTGTAATAGCATTCGGTTTCATAATTATTTTTGCTCTATACTGCATGACTTATTAATATGTGGTCCGAAGCTTGTGTCAACTTCTCCTTCATTTACATCTTGTTTATTTCCAAATTGCGGTTTGCAAAAGCTAACTCCTAATTTTGTTGACCGCTCTGCGTCACCATCAAATGATCTGATCTGTAATATAGGTCCTTCCTCTAACTCAGAGGTGGCTACATCGTGACTCTTAGAGTCATAATCAGTCAATTGCTCCCCTGTATATTTATTTTTATCCGTTTCTACAAAAGGATTTTCGGTAGTAAATTCCTCTGCTAACGAATTCTCCCATTCAAAACCTAAGGTGTTCCCCGGTTGGCTCTGAAGTACTTCAATGTTGTTTGATGTATCAGAGGCCTCTAATAGCCCGCAGCTACTTTTATAGTTGAATAATCTACTTAATTCTGTTTCCTTCGAGTTATTTCCTCCATTACTTCCCTATCTCACTGTTAATTTCCCTCAAAGGTGAAGCTGAGCTTTTAGAAAAATACAGATTTCCTAATAAAAATTGAAGACTAAGCAACTTTTAGAATTTCAGGCCAATTGGAACTTTTTTGTGAAAATTGATGCCGCAAAGATATGTTATGATGAAACGGTATGAGCTATTTATGCAAACAGCTTGTGCACATTATCTAAGAAAAATATAACCGAAACCTCTTATGTTATAGATTATGCTTGTTTAGCAGCACTGAGTAAAAAGTAGGTATGTGATGTATATATTGCTCAGATAAGGCTTGGAGGGTCTAGCCTAGGTCCTTAATGTAGCCCTAAGAGTTATTTGCATTTATCATGAGTTTATCCCAGGATATTGAGGATTATGACATTACCTCTCTGATTTGACTGCATTGGCTGATTTCATCCTTTTGTATTCTGAGGGCAGACCTTGTGTTAAAATTATCATCCTCAATGGCCTCTTCATTAATCTGGTTACCAATGATTTTGATATCAGTTAGGTTCTGGTTAAAATGATTTTTAAGAGGAGGAATCCAAGGAGCTTTCAATGACCGATTTTCTACAGCTTTCCAAGATACTTCTTTGAAAAAGGCATGGGTCTTAATATCGTCGACTGATTGGGGTCTAAGATCTCCTTCTTTGTTTAAACACCAGCTGATCAATTGCTTTAGCTCTTTACTTCAGGCGAAATTAAGCTCTTCAGTTCCGAACATTATTAAGTTATTCATCTCTTGTTGATTTCTGGAATAGTGAGGTGGAAATCCTGATATCATTTCATGCAAAAGACATCCAAAGGTATAAAAATCTATGGTTAAATTGTGAGGTACTCCTCAGAGCATCTCTGGAGCCATGTACTCAGGTGAACCTCAGAAAGTATCATTCAGGCCTGAAAGATTTTCCACTATTTTTGCCAATCCGAAGTCTGCTAATTTGAGGTATCCATTAGAATCGATTAAGATATTTTCAGGTTTAAGATCTCTATACACCACATCCCTCTGATGCATTCTATCTATCATAACCAGGACCTCACTGGCGTATCTCCTGACCATACCCTCATCAAGAGGGCCATGATTACGCAGCAGGTTATAAAGGCTGCCTCCAACACACAGCTCTGTGACCAAGTAATAATACTTCTCATCCTGGAAAGCCCAGTAAATATCGACGAAGAAAGGGTCATTCGTGAACATAACGTGTATATTGCGTTCGTTGAGGACAATCTCTTCAGAGATTCTCCTTGATTTCTGAATAATCTTAGCTGCATAGAGCTTGCCAGTGTCTAGCTTTCTTCAAGCAGTGACGTGGGAGTAGCCGCCCTTGCCTATGAGGGCGAGATGCTGAAGGTCAGCAGGAGAAGGAGGCTTAGAGGAGCGGTGGCTGTAGAGAGGATGGAGAGTGAGGCAGCTGGGGAGCGAGGAGAGAGGAAGAAGGGCGTGGGAGATATAGTAGTCGAAAGGGAGATTGAACCCTTCGGAAGCTATTTTGAGCCCGATTATTGATTTTTTGTTGGAGAGAGGTTTGTGCTTGAAATCGCATCAAATTTTGTTGGAGCAGCGGGTGTCTTGGGAGTTTAGTGATTGTGATCTGGTGTCAAAGAAGGTGCCGTATATGCTGATAACTTCGTTTAAGAGCCATCCACAGGTATGTTTGGTAATAGATTGTCTAAAAGAAAAATGATAGGTTATAAACATGGGTCAAAATTCTTATTTATTATAAAAATGGAGTTAAAATTATCAATGTTACAATTCAAACCACTTGAAATATATACCTTTCAAACTCTTTGGTCTCTTCTTGATCATTTTCGATAATAATCTTCTTCTCTGGCAATCCGTCACCAAACTTCACAATGAAAGTTTGTTGGGAATTCTCATGGTCTCTTTTCTTAGGGCTATTTTGGCCATTAAAGCCTACAAAACTACTATAAGGCCCACTAAACTTGGTCTTCGTATTGTGAGAGCTCCTAGAATTTCCAAAGAGAGCTTGAAATACTTCTTTGTTAAAAGTGCCATCTCCCTCTTGGGAAGAAATATCTTTGAGCATTCCTCTGCTTTTCAGCATCTCTACAAAATTCTCTTTCGCACTGAGGTTATTCTGTCTTTTGTGAAAGCTCTGTTCAAATTCTTCATATGATTTTGGCAACTTATTTCCCATATTTACCTTATAATTTATATAAGTTTTTAGCTAATTTCGTTTCCTTTAAGTAAAGTTGGGGTTTTGGGGTTTTGGGGTTTTGGGGTTTTGGGG